GACGTGTAGCCCCGTTACACATTTGGTAGCACTTGTAATCAATCACAAGAGTCGGCTATGCCTTGCCATCCATTCTGAATGTATCTTTTGTGAGGTCAGAATACGTGCCCGGTACCACTGAACACGATCGAAGAGCGTATGTCAGTGTCTTGAAGAGGCCAAGGAAGTGACAGCACCAAACCACTTCACCTACTGTCGCTCACCAGCTTCGATAATGCACATGACACCCACAGGTGCGCTCCGATGGGCGTCAGTGTTGGAGTCAATGACACACCGTGAGGTCGCTGATGCAATAAATCTAGCCCCTTTAGGAGAGGGACCGAAACCCTTCTTCCTTTAAATGCGGGAGGTTATATGATCATAAATTCGGCCAAATTGTAAACGGAGCAAAAATGCATTGCACTTGCGGTCATCAAATCCGAATGCCGTGGCAAAAGATGTGCAATACCACTACAGAGAAGACGTGGAGCGATCGAAGCGATATGTATACGTTACTTGCACCGCCTACGTAAGCTTACAGATTGCGTTTGAGGCTTTTCGCTACCCATCAGAAAGGTGAGAATAAGCAATTATAACAAAAATTTCAAATTCTTATTCCCGCAATGGCATCAGACGCGTTAAAGGTGGAGGTAAAGGTCACTGTATCTGTTGACGTCTCTGAAAGTCTTACGTATTTGTTCGAAGCGGTGGTAGTTTTTGCATTGAATGTGGAGTGATGGAGGTTTATCAGAATAATTATTTTTGGTCTTTCAAATACGCAACCGGTAGTACCAGTATTGTGGTCTATGTAACTCTTCTGGGCAAGATGACTTATCTCGCCACTGTGCTCAACACTAGCTTGAAAATGTCATGCACTGACCATTTGCAAACAGGTGTCAATCGCGATGCAGAGAACGTTCATCAAATCTTTTAGGCGGTGAGACCGCAATGCTGGAACGATTTGTGCCGACGCACCGAGCGTGCGCTGATTAACGCAGCACATACCTTACAGCTTAAATTTATTTCTATAAATAGTTTGGTAAGCTCCGAAAGCTTCAAATATCGCCCCAAAATGGCTCTAATCATTTCTGGAAGAGGCTATCGATACAATACGACTTGCCGATTTCAGCCCGGCTAAATTTTATAGCATTATCAGTAGTTTATCCAAATGAAATTGAACGTTATGCGTAGGGTGCAAGACGCTATGGCTGAGAACCATGAAAAGCAAAAGCCACACGATGATACCAGAGGCATGCGTAACACACACGAGTATGTATTGGAGCAAAAGGATTTGTTTAATGTGTTTAGTCTATCTACGCATGCAGTGACTGAGGTCTATTGATCCAAGCTCCGGCACTATGCGCGGTCGTGGAAATATGAGATCGAGTTATAAAGTAAATATCTGAAAGAGAATGCGGACAAACCGATAGTTCTATTTGGTCGTTCGTTAGCCATACCACGATCCGGCTATTTCGAGCAATTCGGGTGTGATGAGCTCTCTTATAGACAAAACAAAGATTCTACTATCTCTTGTAGCCAATCTACTCTCTACTCGATAGATGCATCCCGGTTGTGATTTGCTTGGGGTGTCTCAAACCAGGCAAATCACAACAATACTGCGATTCTCACAGTTGATCGACGTGCCGCCAAAACCAGAAGAGCTCACAAGCGCCTTCCGCGGGAGCGTTGACCTAAGCCGTCTCTGCGTAATGTGCTAGATCCGCCCAGTTTCACGCGTAAAGTTTTGGCTAGCTAACGAATACACAAGGGCTATTACCAGTGCCAACATAGAAAGATACCCTCAGTCCGAAAGAACATGGGAGTCTTAGTTTCCACTTCGGCAGTCAGACCCTGATAACATAACCACTTACCATCCAGCAAATCATCGGCTTCA